GCCTGGTTGGGCACTTCCTTTCCCCCCACACTGAGGGCTAGAGTTGGGAGGGGGGTTCCCTCCCCCAGCTTGCTCAGGCTTCTTGTGGGCAGGACAATAAAGGCCCTGGGTCTATTTCAAAGTGATTACTTTCCTCCTCCTGCTGGGAGAAGCAGAATTTTCTGTGACTTTCACAGTGAGAATCTGATAGGATCCTGGAAGTCTGGGCGTGTGTGTGTGTGTGTGTGTGTGTGTGTATCTATGAGAATGGGCACCCTAGGAATTCATAACTCTCAAGCTTGTCCACAATGAGTCTCCAGCAATTTTGCTTCAGTGTCCCTCCTTATGCCGGCTCCATCTGTGGCCTCTACACCTCTCTCTGAGTCTGGGTGTCTGCCTGCCTTTCCAGTTCTCAGGGCAGCAGTTTGTCCTGTGATTTTGATTCGCTGGTAAATCTGAGTTCTTGCTCTTCACTTTTCTCAGCTTTTTTTCTTGTGTGGATGAAGTGATGCCCAGACACCAGAAGCTGTATCTTCCTTGCTGATTTGTAGGAGTTCTTATACATAGTAGAACACTTAGTCCTTTATCTTGATATGAGATGAACTTTTTTCCCCCATGTCTTCATCTATCTTTTGAATTTCTAGTTTCTTCCTGTGCAGCTCAAAGACGTTTTGTATTGATACTCTCTTTAAGGTATTTGGATTATGTCATACAATTAGAAAGGCCTTCACAACTCAGATTATAAAGGACTTCTTTCTTTGTTTCTTTCAGTACTCATTATAGCCTTATTTATTACATGCTTGGATTTTAATCTCATGTAAGGTGTGAACAATAAATACTACTTATTTTTCTCCATTTGTCTATTCAGTTGTTTGAAAACTCTTTACTCAAGCTTATTTTTTCTCATTAATTGATTACCATATAGTAAACTTCAATATGTATTTGTGTCTACTTCTGTAATTTCTATTCTGTATTATTCTTTATCCTTTAGTTATATGCTAATATGAACACTTTGTATCATACTACTACTCTAGGAACATTATATGCCTTTCAATTTGCTCAAATCCTTGTATCCCTAGGGAAATTTAAAAATATTTCTTCACCTAGACCTTTCACATTTTCTTGTTAATTCCATTCCTAGGAATCTTCTCTCTCTTTTTTTTCCTTATTATATCTGGGGTCTTTTCCTTCATTATGTTTTTTAATTGATTGCTTATATACACTTAATATAACTGTGAATATACCCACAAGAATACTACTCATCATTTATTTCTGTATTGTTAGCTTGTAGAAACATACTATTTACATTTTAAAAATCTCTGCCTGTTATAATAAAGGGCAAGATTGCCCAGGGAGGGGGCCTACAGTCTGTGAAGGGGGCTCTACCAACTTATTAGCACTGTGGCATTGGCATGGCAACTGCATTTCTGTAGTTACAGCTTGTCCATCTGTAAAATGGGATGAAACCGTTTTCACCTCGCCAAGAAGTTTTGAGAACCAGAAAGATGAGGCACAAAAGCCCTTAGCAATGTGCCTGAAACACAGCAAGCACTCAACAGCTGCTGCCTGCACGGGTGCTGTCCCCTCACCAAGGAAACCCAAACCCAGCCCAAGGGCTCAGTGTGGGAGCAGCCACTGGCTTCCCAAACCAAGCCCTACGGCTTGCTCCTCAGGGCGCCTCAACAGAAGCCCTTAGATAGGCTGGAAGGCAGTGCGCTGGCCTGGGGGACAGTGGAGGAAATGCGGATGGAAGGGGAGAACCCCAAATGCACTGGAGGGGAATGAAGGGATTCCATGCTGACTTGCACTTGGGGTCCAGGAAAACGGAAGGAGGAAACGAGAACAAGGAACGAGGCACCCCATCAAAGGCGGCCCCCCCCGAGTTTGTAGAGGGTCTTACAGCTGAGAGGGCACTTAGGCATACGCATACGCATATTGCACACAGATCTCAAACCAATCTTCACAGCAACTGGCTGGGCCCACGAGGAAGGGATGCATAGTCACGCAGGGCGTGGGCAGAGGGCTGGACGCCATGTTGCAGGTTGGCTGCCTCCCATCCCAGCGCGCCTACTTCTTTATAAACCCTCTGGACTTCTCCGGGCATTCATTCCCACCTGTGCCTAGGTACTAAATCGTCAGCAGCCAGTGGGCCAGCAAACACAGGCGAGGGGAAGAAGGGAAAACGAGACGGGTTGAAACGTTTTGATAAGAGGTGGTGGAAGAGAGTCCGGCTGAACACTCTGCAGACAGGAATCCAAGGGGAGGCGCTACACAGGGAAAAGTGTAAAGATGGCGACAGTGTCCTGAGCATCTCACGTGCGCTGCCTCTTTTTTTGTGCATGTTTCCTTTGATCCCTAACAACAGTCTTCCCAGGCAGGTGTTGTTAAGTCAATGACACCACGTGTCTCCAGCAAGCTAGGGCCCCAGCCCTGGGGCTTGGCATCTACAGACTAACTGAAGACTACTTGGGAAACACACCCAGAGGCCTGGCCCAGGGTCGTTCACGGTCAAGGCAGAGCAGGGAAGGAACCTTGAGGACGTCGGCCCCGGCGGGCTGAGTGCGGGAGAAATGTGATGCGGTCAGTGGCCCAAGCAAGGACGTCGCTTCTGCCGCTGTCACGAGGACACAGCCAAGCTAAAGCAGCCAGGCCAGGGGGCAAGCAAGTGGCGGTGGCTCCTGGCAGCCGGAGCTCGGGATGCAGGGGGGAAATGGTAGACTAAGCCAACTGCAGTGGAAAAAGAGACGCCCGAGCAGGAAAAGTGCTCCATCAGCGACTTCTCCCCGTCTCCCTCTGCTGCATCGCTTTTTAAAGCGACAGTCGCGACGCCGCAGGATTCGGAAGCGGAAATGGTCTCTGCTCATTGGATGATGTCTAAATTCAGATCGAAAGAATGTGGTTGGAGACAGCTGGTGGAAACGGTCCAGTGCCGTCCCCAGTGGAAATGCCCACGTGCTGCTCGTCGCTGTCCTCCCCCAGCGTCCCCAGTCTCCATCTCCTCTCTCGCTCGTCTTCCATCCGTGTGTGCTATTTTTCTTCCTTTTGTAACCGACCCGGGCGCCTTGCACCCGCGTGCTCCAGGAACTCCCCCTGCTTATCCCAGCGCAGCCGGCTGCGATGTGATTAATGCGAGCTGCTCGGCGGTTTATGAGAAATGACACTTCCTCCCCAGCTTCTTGTATCTGCCGCCGGGCAGTTAACGCGACCGCCCGCTCCCTGCAGCCGCCGAGGGGACCGCTCCCGGGCTTCGGAAGCCTCGGGAGCAGGGCGCGCAGAGCCGGCCCGCGGACGCCGAGAGAACTCGGGGCTGCGGCTGAGGGGCATGGGAGGGGTCGGGGGAGGGCCAGCCAGCCGCGCGGCAGGGGCACGCCTTCCGTCCCCGGGGGACAGGGGACTGTCTCCGCAGGCCGCCGGCGCTCCCAGCTCTCTCGAAATCTGCAAATTCATTGCTCTCCCTTTCATCTTCCGGCGAAAACCCAGCGTCCAGAGTAGGGCCAGCCCCCCAGTCTTTCACCTCCAGCCTTTAACCGACTTCAAGGCGGATTCGACTTGGGCCGCATATAAAGGGCTTTGATTTGCTTTCCCAGCGCAGGGGTCCGGGTCTCTCGGCTTCCGACTTGGCTTCGTACTCGCGCCCCGCAGTCTGGAGCTGCGCTCAAGTCTGGGCAACTTTCACCATCTTGACCCGAGAGTCGGGCCGTGGCTAAGACAATGTGAACAAAGAGGAGCGGAGGCGGGGGGGCGAGAGAGGGGCCGGCGGGTGGGCTGCAGGGCCCGTGTGCGTGCGTGTGTCGGGGGCAGCCGCGCGGGGATCGGGACGCGGGCGCCTTGCCCCCGGCGCAGAGCCCCCCCCAACGCCGGGTTCCTGGCACGACTCGGCCGCGGTAGGGCCCCTGGGCGGCCCCGGCGGCAGGTTTCTTTGTCCCTGCCTCCGGCTGGGCGCGAAGGCCGCCGGCCAAGAGCAGAAACCTGAGCCGGGGACTGGAGCTCGGGCTTCCACGTGCGGCCCCGCGAGGCAGAGCGGGAAGGAGCGGCCGCAGCCCCCGGCGCCCCGCGACCCGTCTCGCGCGCTAGGCTCTCCTGGTTCCGCGGCGGGCTTCGGGACGTGGAAGCAGACATCGGAACTCGCATTTCGGGTCCCGGAGCCAAAGCTGGGCTCGGGAGGCCCCGGGCAGTCCCAGAGAGAGGTGTTGGGGGGGGGGGGGAAGGGGGACAGAGGGAACCCACTGGCGAGCGTTCTCCACCCAGACTCCCTGAAGACGCGCGCGCGGGTCTGTGGCGCGAGTCGAACTCAGGCACCTAGGCGGTTCTCTGGCGCCCCCCGACCGACTGCGCGGCGGTCAGGGGGACCCGGGGGGCGGGGCGGGACCATCACGCAGCCCTGGCTCGGTGGACGCTGCGAATGAGACCGAGACGGTGGCTGCATTGGCGTGTGCGTGCGTGTGTGTGCGTGTCAGTGAGCGAGCGAGACTGCTCACATGCGGCCGTCTTACCTGCAATAGCGTTCGCGCTTCTGTGTCTGGCAAAAGAAGGCAAAAACTGCCTATCCATTCAAGCTCACCAACCAACAGCCCTCCCCTCCAACTCTCCCAACTAAGTTACATTTGGTAATGCCATGCGAGGCTGCAGGGTCCACGTGAAAACTAGTTGCCCAATTTCACTCCAAAGCTCCATCGATAGGCAGCGAGCTGGGTGTTAGGTGCCCGGTGTCCAACCTCCCCAAACCACCCCCACCTCCCGCCCCTGCCCCCGCTGCGGGATTCTGAGCCTCCAGGAGACTCCGGGTCCCCTTCTTCCTGCCTAGCGCATCTTTCACGGACTTTTCTCGCTAGAGCCCGGGTGCCCCGGCCCGTCAGCCCGGCTGGCCCCGCGCGCGGTCCGGCGCGCCGCGCTGGGCCTGCCGCAGAGCGCGGGCGCGGGCGGCAGGGCGGGCGCTAGGACCGCGGGGAGGCCCCGGGCGGCCGCGGCGCTACCTTAAACCCAGCCCAATGCCGCTGCCTGCGCCACTCTGCGCGCCGGCGGGGGCTGCGCAGGAGGAGCGCTCCGCCCGGCTACAACGCTCCGCGGGCCGGCGCGGCAACACCTGTTCGCGACAGCCAGGGCGGCACGCGAGCTCCCGGACGCGGCTCTCCTCGCTCGCCGCTCGCCACCCGGGCTAAAGCCAATGGACCTCTGCCGAGCTGCTGGAGCATTCTGGATACTAGCGTTGGACGCCTAAAGTTTTTCCTTCTTTTTGCTGTATTTTTTATTATTATTATTATTTTGGAGGGGGGACCGGGAGGGGAGATTGGTCGCCGCCGCCGACGAGAGATTTTTTTTTTTTTGCCCCCTTGAAGGATTCCTGCTGATGTCTGCAGTCGGTTAGAGAGTAAAAACAGCGCATGCCTTCCTGGAGTCAGGATCCGTAAATTCTGACGTAGCCCATGCATCTTAAAAATCCCTATAATAACGCCTAGGCATTTAAGTTGCTATGGTCATTCTGATCTCCAAGCAAATGGAGAAACTACGGATTTTTTTTCCTTATTACGGTCGCATGGGATGAAGACCTTCCTGCCTGCTGAGAGCTGGGGATCTATCCGTAGAGATACCTAGAAATGTTTATCAATATGTCAGTGTGTGAGTATGAAGTGGTGGTTTCTTAGACTCTCAGTGGTTTGACCTTGAACCTGTGCCAGTGAAACAGCAGATTACTTTTATTTATGCATTTAATGGATTGAAGAAAAGAACCTTTTTTTTTTCCTTCCCTCCTCTCTGTGCAACTGCAGTCAGGGGAGGGGAGTCGGAATATACCTCGCCTAATATCTCCTGGGTTGGCACCGTCATTATTGTTTATTCTTGTGCTCCGAGAGCCCAGTCCTCCGATGGCTCCCTTAGGTGAAGTTGGGAACTATTTCGGTGTGCAGGATGCGGTACCGTTTGGGAATGTGCCCGTGTTGCCGGTGGACAGCCCGGTTCTGTTAAGTGACCACCTGGGGCAGTCCGAAGCAGGGGGGCTACCCAGGGGACCCGCAGTCACGGACTTGGATCATTTGAAGGGGATTCTCAGGCGGAGGCAGCTATACTGCAGGACTGGATTTCACTTAGAAATCTTCCCCAACGGTACTATCCAGGGAACCAGGAAAGACCACAGCCGATTTGGTAGGTATACCGTTAACCCTTTCGTGTCCACGCGGTGACAGATTCGGATTATTAACTCTCGAGGAGGTGGTGGCCAGAGGAGGGGGGTGCGGGCAGGGCTCTCCACCCCCCACCCCCACCCCCACCCCCTGTCTTTCTTTTTCTCTGTGTGTGTCTTGCCAGCTCAGAAAAAAAAGCCTCCGGAATTGCAGATCTGCTGCTGGCACTGGTGCAAGTCTACACTGAAAGGCCTTTTTTTTTTTTTAAGGGGGGGCATGATTTATGAATATAATACAAGTCCTCAGTTCTTTTGCATCCGACACACGGGAAGGTCGGGTGTAGGAAGTTTCTTTTGAATGGAGGGATTCCACGAGTTTAAAGCTTTAATCATTAACTACTAAGAACTTAAAAATGCATTGAGTTTCCTGAAGGCAGTAGGTGGGTATCTTGTGCGCAAATTGAGGTTGCTTCCCCCTTGCCTTTTTTCCCTCTAGTAAGTATCCTGCTTGAATTGTAAATTAAGCGTATTGTTTATCCCCCCCCCCCCCCCCGTGAGGGTCTGAAAGCTCCCGTAGGCGAAGATTGCCAACTGATTGTTCTGTGGGGAGGAAGACTCCAGTCCTGAGACTCGGGGAGCGGCAGGGGCAGGGGCAGAGCGCGCCCAGCGGGGGCGGCCGTCCCTCCGGCTACGGAGTCGCAACCTCTGCGTTTCCCTCTGCACAGCGTGCAGCCCGCTGTGGGTTTTCCTGGGCGGCTCTCCGGCGTGAGTGTGTGCGTGCGTGCGCGTGCAAAAGCCGCGAGCTCATTTTAAAGGGCGTTCCGAGGACTTGGTTTCCCGAGGAGGGTATTTGTGACTCAGCGAGCGAGCGCCGGTGACCCTGCCCACTGGGATGCCTGCACGCACGTGCTGGACGGGGCGCCCCTAGCCCGGCCGCGCGGAGCCCACCTGGTCGGGGGTCGGCGGGGGCTGGCGTGTGGGAGGGAAGCTGGGGCACTTTCTCTTAAAAAAAAAAAAAAAGGCCACTTTGGGCAACCAGACTGTTGGAAGGAGTTAACTTGTGAGTGAACCCACCTGACAACACTTAAACCAGGTCGTAAAAAAGCAAGGTCCTGCGGTGGATTTTCTTCCTCACGCTTTCGTGCCAGATGTTGGAACACAACCTAACTGCACGGTTAGCTTCGTGGGGGCTGCGGGTGAGGACGAGGCAGGCCTGGGGTGGGCACAGTCCCAGGTAACACGAGGCCCGGCATTTTCTTCCTAAGGCTCCCGACGGGGGCTGGAACCCAAAGCTTAAGGCAAAAACAGTTGTGGCTCTTCGCTGGTGCTGTTATTCAGCTGGGACAGAACGGCTCCCCCACCACCCCCGGAGTCAACGTGGCTCCTGATGGTTGCCAGGGAAGACTAAACTTTTACCAAAAGTGCTCCGGTCTGGCCGCTTTAAGGGCTCTGCGGCTGCCGTGCCCAGCGTTCAATACCAGCACAACAGGCGGTGGGCGGCCGTGGGTGGGAGAGCGACGAGTGTCCGGGTCCGCAGCGGCCACCCGCGGGGCGTCGACGCTCGGCCGGCCGCGGGGGAGCGGCGTGGGCGGCCGGCCTGGGCGCGCCTTGCGGCCCGGAGCCCCGGCCCTCCCGCGCTCTCGGCCGGCAGGTGCTGGCTCGGCCTCCCGGGCCCCGCGGCGCTCGCGGCGGTCGCTCGGCCGGCTCCGCGCGGTCCTAAACGCGCTCGGGTTGCGGCTCCCTTTCCGCCCGGCTCCCGTGCGCCCTTGGGTGCTGGCGGGGACCTACTGCCGAATCGGGGGCGACGGGCTGGGGGAGACACACTTCTGGCCGCGCTTGGGGAATCCTGAGTTTTCGTCCCCCCCACCCCACCCCGTTTAGTCCCTTCGCTTTCTCTTTGTGTGTGAGTGTGGGTCTGGCGGGGCTGACAGCCGCCGCCCGGGGCAGCGTGGTGGTTTCGCGTTGTGGGAACGGCTGGAGAGGCGCGCGACGCGGCAGGAGAGCCGGTGGCGGGGACCGAGCGCGGGCTGGAGGTCGGACCCCAGAGCTCCGCGTCCCGTCCCGGGCCCCTCCCCCGGTTTTCTGGAGCGCACAGCCAGCTTTCGGAGGTCCACGGGCTCCGCGGGGCCGGGGAGGTGGGTCGGGGACCCCGAGCGCGCAAGGCCGGAGCCGCCGGGGAGGGGGTGGGGGGGACAAAGGGCCGCGGAGGCGGGCGGAGGGGGCGGCGTGCTATTGTTAACCGCTTTTGGAGAGCCGAGCGGCGGCCTGCGGACCAGCTTTCCCGCGACCCCGCCTCGCGTCCGGGAGCTCCCAGGGTGCGCGCCCCAGCTCCAGGGGCGCTACGATGGGCTAGCGCCAGCCTCATTGTGTGAATTGTGGGGTCGGAACCCCGGGCGCAGCACAACTGGACCCCGGCGTGCAGACATTGTGGGATGTTGCGGTCGGGCTTCCTCCACGAACCCCATCATCCACCCCTCACACGCCCCGGGCTTGATTTTTTTTTTTTTTTTTTTTTTGATGCAGTCACCTTTAGGGTAGGACATTAGCTACCACGCGCAACCGAGTCATCAGAAATTCAGCAACTCTGCCACCCGGGCGAGCCGGCATGCACGGGTCTGTGTGTGGGGGATGCTGGAGGGTGAGGGACGCGTTCTGGGGTCGGTGGACAAGGACTGAGGCAAGGCACAGCGGCTGAGTAGACACCTCAAACAAACACAAAAAGCAAGACCTCTCCCCTCCTGGAGCCTAGAGGTCGGAGAAAGGTGTCACCAAGAAGTGACATGTCTACTTCGGCTCGCCGAGCATCGTAGTGTGTGTGTGTGAGGAAGGGGAAGGCAGCGCGGGGTGGGCAAGGGAGAGGAAGCCCCTGCCCAGGCTGGGGATTGGGGACGAAGAGCCGCGAGCCGGCCGGCCGTGGGGGAAGGGCGCGCCTGGCGCTCCGCGGTGCCACTCACCCTCGCTGGGATGCAGCTGAGTGGGTGGCTGTGCGCAGTGGGGGTGGGGAAGGAGGGTTATTTAAATCTTTCATCCGGCTGCAGTGAGAAGCGGGCCCCGGGGGTGTCAGCAGTGCCGCGGTCTCCCGCTGCTCCCGCTGCGGCAGGTCCCAATATTAGCAACCTCTGCAGCTCGGTGCGTGTGTGCCGGGAGCCTCCTACCCGCGCCCTCCCAGCCCCGCCCTCAGGGCTGCAGCGGCGCTAGGACCGCGCGGCGCGCGCACGCCGAGGGCGGAGGAGCGGGCCGGCTGCGGGAGGGGGCGCGGGGCTGCGGCAGCGCGCCACACCTGGCGCTCGCGCTCGTCGCCCGCCTCACCTTCAGGCCTCCTCCCTCCGCCCGCCGCGGCCTCCCGCTGCTCTCCCCGGCTGCCCGCGGGGGACCGGGTCTTCACCTTCAGTGTCTCTTCCGATTCCCGGGGAAGAGGGTAGCTGCGGGTGGGGGGTGGGGCGGGATGGGTGTACCACCCCTCGGTTGAGACCGAAGGTGCCTGTTCGACCTGAAATGGAATGGCCGAATCAGAGATGCTGGGGGTCGTCCCCGTGCAGCCGCAGGTGACTGCAGCTGCTGGCGAGCGTGGCGGTGACACAGCAGAGGCAGTGCAGGCGACGTGGGGGCGGGGGCGGCCGGCCGAGCCTCCCGCGGGAGCTGCGGCCCTGACAACTTAGGTGGGACCTTGAGGGAGTCCTTTGTCTTTCCTTTTGGTGGGGCGTCGGGGTGGGGTGGGGGGAGGCGTGTGGAGATGTTGGTGGAGCGGAGGGGAAAGGAACTGGGAATTGTGCTTCTGGCTGGTGGAGCGAGACGTTACATCTCATGGATGCTCCTGTATATATATATATATATATATTTTTTTTTTTTTTTCACTTTTACAGCACTGCATCCTTGCTAGGTCGGGGGAAAAAAGCAAGTAGAAAAATCAGTTGGGAAAAATGGTCATGTGGAGTAATGAGAAAGTGAGCACTGGAGTTGATGCACTATAGCTGGGCAGGGGCTCTGACCCCAGATGAGCACCCCACTAGGGGCTGCCCACCCGAAGGCAGTCAGGCGGCGGAGGGGAGAAATAAATACTGCAGTAGGATTTTTTTTTCAATAAAAGGAGGTTACAAAACTTATTTCGAGGGTTTTGCACTTGAAATTTGGTGGGTTCTATCTCCCATTCAAGTCGTCATTTCGTAAGTGACCTCGGAGGTTTGTTCAAGTTGGGTGGACCCCCGAGTTGCCCCCCAGGAGGCGGTGCCGGAAGCTCTGCGGGAAGGGGCTTACCTCTGCATTTGCAATAGTCGCGGGTCATACATGGCTCGCTGCACCTTCTGCAGAAGTTTGTGTCCTCTGAGCTGAAGAGGGCAGCTCTGTTAAGTGTTGGGGCTCTCTGGTTAGAGGGCTGCCTAAGTGGGTCAAGGGGCGGGGGAGGAACTTCTGTGCTCCTCCCACTTCCCCCGTGGTCCGGATCGACCTTGTTCCTGCCGCCCAGGTGGTGCCCGCCTAGGTGGGCTGCAGGGGAATGGTCCATTTGAGCCGAGCTGGTGGAAGCCGCAGCAGTTTTGGGATGGTGAGGCTGGGGCAAGGACCAAGGTCAGCGAGGTCATTTTTCTGAAGTAGTCTGCTGCGGCCTGGGAATCTTGAACCACATCAGACCCCATGGGGCCCATTGAGCCCCTTCTCATCCTGAGCTAGTGGCTGTTGTGGAAGAGAATTGAGAAATGACACTTGCCACAGCACTGGGCTTTTCATGTCACTCCATCATCACCTGTTACCCTGGCTGCTCTGGGCTGAGGCTGTGTAGGTTGTGGGTGCCTAAGAGGCTACCACGCAACACCTGTTACAACCATTGTTAACATTAGGCATGGCCCCTTTCCTTCTCCCTGTTCTCCCTGTCTACCGCATTTTCCCCTTCCTCTCCTTGACTATTAGACATGCCATTGTCTCTACACAGAAGCCTTCTCCTGGGCTGCCCACCTGTGTAAGTAGATAACGTGGGGCATGTGGGCAGTTGTATTTGTGGGAAGCAGTTGGAAGCATTCGTTTGGCACCAGCTGCGGCCTAGAGAGCTTGATCAACCTGGCTGAGGTTCTAGGGTTCGTTGTGGACAGGTGGTACCAGGAATTTATGATAAGGATGCTGGGCTGGTTGGGGTGGGATCCCGCGGCCAGGTTGCCAGGTCTCCCTGACCTCAGTGCGTCAGGGCCATTCGGGTGTGGGAGAATGGCTATGATTCATACATGCGGGGTTCTCTTTGCCCTTGGGTCACCATGGTGACCTCTTAAGAAGCTGGGCTCATCTCTGGAGATGTCTGTTTTCAAGGAGCTGCAGAAATATGCGTGGTGGTTTGAGGTGATGAAATCTTTTCCACCTAGGGTCACCCGATCATTCCTCTTGCCGGGCTGGCTCCTCTGAGACTTGCTTCTGGTTTCCGGGAAGCGTCCCCTGACTTGCCTTCCCAAACCTGAGCAAACCGCTGGCCTTGGCTGGATGTCACCACATTGTCACTGAGTCAGTCTGTTCATTTGTCCTTCCTCCCTTCCAGTAGTTCCCCTTTCTGGAGGTTTCACTTTCGGAGGTTGCAATTACTCAGTCAACTGTGGTCTAAAAATGCTACGTGGAAAATTCCAGAAGTAAACAATTTGTAAGTTTTAAATAGTTTTTATTATAGTATATTGTAATTGTTCCATCTTTTCCTGAGTTATTGTTAATCTCTTATTGTTGCCTAACCTGCAAATTAAACTTTATGATAGGGGTGTGTGTGTGTGTGTGTGTGTGTAACTTACATATGTAGGTTTGGTGCTACCTGTGGTTTCAGGCATCTGTGGAACTTATGTCCTGTGGATAAGAGGGCGTCTACTGTAGATGGTGAGCAGTTTGAGGGTGTAGGGCCTAGGCTGTTGTTTATTTATTTTTATGCATGGGCTTGGGGTAGAAAAGTCCCTCAAGAATAGCTTGTTGAGAGGGTAGGGGAATGCATGTGAGTTACAGCTGCCGTGTCAGTGTCAGAAAAAGAACCAAGATGCACATCTTACTACTTTCAGTTACACATTATATAAGAATAGGGACTGCAGAAGTTGGCTATGAGAATCTCACAGAAGTCACAGGTCAGCAAAAACAAGGTAAAACCAGCTTGAAGTTGTGGATGATAGTCAAGGAAATAGACAGGAGGGGAGGGTCCAGTTGCTTGAGGGCAGGTTCAACCTCTTGAAATCTCAGTTTCCCCGATTGTACATGGTGGTGGTGATGGTGGGTGTTGAAACACCCTCATGCCCAGGGTTGAGCTGAGGATCAAATGAGAAAAGGCGTCTCATTTGGCACAGAGTGAATGCACAAGTATTTCAGTTCTTCCCGTGGTCATTGTTGTTGTTATTATGGTTGATGTGTAGAACAGCCAAATGGTTTTGAGAAATCACGTACACCCTGCGCTTTGCTGGAGCTGCAAATTCTCGTTATTAGTTCTCAGAGCTGCCGCCTCATTTTCAGGAAAACCAGACTGTCACACATGCCCTCTTGGAGGACACAAGTACCTTTTAGTTTTGCGATTTAAACTATCCCTCATTGACCCGGTAAATGAAATTGTTCAGACCTCCAAGGGGGCAAAATGTTTCCTATAGTTCATTTCCTTATGAAAATTGGATGTGGATTAGCTCCCTACGCTAATTTCAGGATGACGGTGACCTACATTGTGACTGGTGTGCTTTCAGGTAGCCAAGACAAGGTTGAGGTACGTGTGATTCCTGACTGTAATAAGATGCCACGTTTTGATGACCTTGAATCATAGAAATGGCGCAGTGAAACAAAATGGATACATCAGAAGGAGAGTGCACCTTCAGGGAGCTGAATCTGGTGGAAATATCGCTCCATTTCTCCTCCTGTTGGCTCTGTGAAGGACAGAAGGCTAATCCAAAGCTGGCTTGTTTCGGGGGTATTTCCATGTTAGAATCAGATTATCAGGTGCAAAATGTAATTTGTAGTTCTTCTTTATAATTTTTTCTATATAGTATTTCATTTTCTATTAAAACAAGACAGGTTGCATGTCCAGATGGGTACTCTGTAAACAGTAAGCATGAGATAAATGTGTTGCATTTTTTACTTATAAAACAATTAGGGATGTCCCTTTACAAGCAAGGGCTCTTCTCTTTTTGCATCACCGTGGAACAGCATTTCTTCCAGAGCTAATCCTTTGCTTTATTCGATTTATGTAGTTCATATCGTCTTTTGATTGCAGCATAGTCTACTTTGTGAGAGTTGCAAAATTAATTGTTTAAAAATCCATGTAAGTGCTTTTTTATTAGTCGCATGAGACTGACTACAGCACAGTGTTACCCTTAGCTTTTTTTCTAAACTCTTGAAAATAAGTGAATTTTTCACTATTTGAAAATATTTTTAAAGCAAGAACTCCATAGCTGGTATGCATGCACACAGGGGCTGCACAGAGCATAGCACTTTAATTTATTAACAAACATGAAAACAGGGCTGAGCAAAAGTAATATTAGCAGTGTTCTAAATATATTGTGGGATAATCATCTTTGAAACGGCAATATAGTTAGAGAAATTGAAGCTGCTGGTTTGTGGCCATAAAAGTCTGGATTTATGCCCAGCTTAGGTGTTGTTATTCTTAGTGAAGTAAGCAAGGGGAACGAACGTAAGAAAAGAAGCTCATTCTGTTGGTGTGACTTTGGAACGCAGGTAGTGTTCCATACCTTCTGCAAAGCAGCAGTGTTTTCAGAGCGCGCATTTTCCCCTGCAGAATATTGTATTATCTGAATTGCTTCGCTCTCTTTGAGGTTCAGATAAGCACAGCAAAAATCAATACTTTGTTTGAGCAGAAGTGCTTGGGCTGTGTGTGGTTTTCCAGATGGGGTACAATGAATTTATAGAATAGACAGCTGAATAATTATCTGCATAAACCAATCAAAGCTTTAGTTAGCACCTCATACGCTTATTCTGAGAGATGTAAGAGCATTTTCTCAATAGACTTTTATCTTTATGATCTTTGTTCCAAAATGAGTATTTTAATTTTTCTTTGGCGATTTGATTCTCTCAATTCTGGAGGCTAGAAAGTATAAGGTGAAGAGATGCATACACAGATTCTTAATATGTCGTTTACAAAGTGGAAGTGGATTGTTTTGCTCTTAAAATTCTGTTTTAGATGAATTAGAATAAGTGCATTGGCTTGTCTCCTATTACTTCTTTTCTTTTTTTTAAATTTTTGACAGGCAGAGTGGACAGTGAGAGAGAGAGACAGAGAGAAAGGTCTTCCTTTACCGTTGGTTCACCCTCCAGTGGCCGCTGCGGCTGGCATGTTGATCCGAAGCTGGGAGCAGGTGCTTTTCCTGGTCTCCCATGGGGTGCAGGGCCCAAGCACCCGGGCCATCCTCTACTGCCTTCCCTGGCCACAGCAGAGAGCTGTCCTAGAAGAGGGGCAACCGGGACAGAATCCGGCGCCCCGACCGGGACTAGAACCGGGTGTGCCGGCGCCGCAAGGAGGAGGATTAGTCTATTGATCTGCAGCGCCAGCCCTCCTATCACTTCTTAGCATATCTATGTAGATATAAGCTTAAAAATGTTCTTTTTTTGTCTGAGAAGTGGAGAGAGAAAGAGACAAAACAGAGATCTCCCATTTGACAAAGACACACAGAAACACACGTGGCCACGCTCCCATCTGCAGGTTCACTCCCCAGATGCCTACAATAGGCCAGGCAGGAACTCAATCCAGGTCTCCCACATGGGTGGCAGGAACTCAATTACTTGAGCCATCATGGCTACTTCCCAGAGTCTGTGCGGGTGGGAAGCCGGGGCCAGGAGCCAGAGCTGGACTTGAACCCAGGCATTCTGATGTGGGATGTGGGGCATCTTAACTGCATGCTAAAGGCCCTTTCTGGTACTAACTTTTAAATTTTTCAAAATGTTTTGTTTGCTATGTAAGTCATGTTAAGAAGGATTTTTGTATGACTATGATAAAACAGAATTGAGTTGGCCAATCTGTTCTGGTAGGCAGTGGTTTTCAGAGAGAAGACACTTGGTTAACCCCTGTGAGGTTATCACAGTTGGGAGCTGGGTTCAGTGTCACGGCCAAAGTCGCCAGGGATGCTGAGACTCTGATGATAACACCCATGCTCTAAGTTGCTCTCTGTATTCTACCTTTTGTCCTGCAGGCATCCTGGAATTTATCAGTATAGCAGTGGGCCTGGTCAGCATTCGAGGCGTGGACAGTGGACTCTACCTCGGGATGAACGAGAAGGGGGAGCTGTATGGATCAGTAAGTACTGGGAGAGACTTGGCCAAGCTGTGTTGGCTTTCAGCTGCATTTTCTCTGTGTTCAAAAGCGCAGCAGAGAAGCGAGTGTAAGTTTCTCCTTTTTGAGGAAAGCCACTTCATTGTTATTAATGGATGATCAGCTGAGCATCTTCACTAGGCCAAGATTGCTCAGAACATGCTTTATTTATATGCCAAACCGTCCTCATTATCAAGTAAATAAAAATTCACAAGTGTGAAAAATCCCATCTTCTTGCATTGAATAGGAGTTATTTTTGCAATGAATTGAAATGATCTTCCAAGCTTTGCTAAGCATTGTCATTAAAACTGGAAATAGGCCCTGCAGTAAGTCTAAACCCTTTCTCTGAACAACATAAGATTTTCATTATGCAGGGAGGTGGAAATTATTGTCAGATATTTTTGCATGTGAATAAGAATATTAACAGCATTGTAATCTTTTGAAAGTACTGTGAATTTGGTTTTTCCCATCTTCACTAGGTGTGAGGTCCTCGGGGCAGGCAGTGCTGAAGTATTGATTATGCTTCCAGGTGCCAGGCACTGTGTATGCTGAGGGACCTGGCTGAGCTATGACTGAGACCAGGTCCCTGCTCCTGCTCTATGGGCAGGTGCCCGACCTCACATCCTTGCTAGCATGGCATCTGAAACACTGTGTGTGTGGCACACAGGTGGGACTTAATACATTCTTGCTAGATGTGTGAGTATGAATAATAGATTATTAGTTACTGTATACTTCCTTGGATTGTCAGCATCAAAAGCTATAGTAAGGGGCCAGTGCTGTGGTGTAGCGGGTAAAGCTGCCACCTGCAGTGCTGGCATCCCATATGGGTGCCTGTTCGAGTTCTGGCTGCTCCACTTCTGATCCAGCTCTCTGCTATGGCCTGGAAAGGCAGTGAAAGATGGCTCAAGTCCTTGGGCTCCTGCACCCATGTGGGAGGCCTTGGCTCCTGGCTTCGGATTAGCGCAGCTCCGGCCATTGCAGTCAATTAGGGAGTAAACCAGCGGATGGAAGACCTCTCTCTCTGCCTCTCCTTTTCTCTCTGTAACTCTGACTTGCAAATAAATAAAGAAATCTTTTTTTTTTTTAAAAAAGCTCTAGTGAAATTACCCCTTAGTTTTTCATTACAATTATTGGTGGTCAAATGAGAATTTAATCTATGTTATCAGAAATATGACAGCTTTGATTAGAGACTGCCAAAAGTTAAAAATTAAAAGAACCTCAGAATCAAAAAAGTTTTGGAGTCCTAAGTCCACAGAAATGAAAGTAAAAATGTTTTCTAGGTATGTTTCTTTCCTATCTATAGTGAAAATCCTACAGACACATACACACACACATACACATGCATGAGTGTATGTGCAAACATATGTGCTGTAAGGATGCTATCTGTGGTATTAAAATTCTACTCAAAAACTCCAGATGACCATATATCATGGCTTGTGTAATTTGAATACAACACCATTTTTTTTAAAGCATTTATTTATTGAAAGAGTTACAGAACAGGGTGGGGAGAGAGAGGGAGAGATCTTCCATCTGCTGGTTCACTTCCCAAATGGTGGCACAGCCAGGACTTGTCTTCCTAGGGGTATTAGCAGGGAACTTGATTGGAAGTGGAGCAGCCGGGACTCTAACTGGTGCTCATAGGGGAGGCTGGCATAGCTGGCTGCCGGTTAACCCACTATACCACAACGCCAGCCCCTAACATGCCATTTTTAATGGCACAGATTGTGAGTTTTCTGCCTTGGTAAAATATCCTTTAGAGAATAAATTACTTTAAAATATGTTTTTAAGTTTGGCTTTGTAATTACAGCTCTTGGTTTAGGCAAAGTTCTTCAGTTCCTAAATGACTTTGGCCCACACTTTTAACTGCAAAGAATGACACATCAGATACAAATGAAGGGAACTTTTAGGCTTAAGGACTAGAAGATGATATTTTCCTTTTGTCACAAACTGCTTTTTTCACTTTTCGGTGTATGGATTTAATTGAACTTAGTAAAATGCTTTTCTTTGTGTAGAACTGAAGTTCTCAGCTTTGGTGGCTGGAAGGGATTGTGATTTATTAACATTACCCTCCCCCCCAAACTTTTTTTGAGTATGTTTCTCAACATATGCACAATAAGTTATTTAAATATATATCTCTAGAAGTATAGCTCATATATGCTTTATTGTTTTATAAAGCATGCAGGAAGTAAAAATGTTTACATGAATGAGCAAACCCAGGTAGAAGCCATAGTACTTGTTCCCACCCCTGGGATCACCCACAGGCCCCTCTGCAGTGTCCTTCCATTGGCCAGAGGAAGCTGCCAGCCTGATTCAGGGTCTTGTGTGGCTCGTTGGGTGACAAGGAGGGCACGTCTCGTTTTGTGCTCAGTGAAGTTGCCTGTGGCATTGTTGCATGAGCTGAGCCGCCTTTCCCTGTGTGGATGGTCTTAGTGGCTTCCTCAAGCCTGCATCCTTGGCACAGTGCCTAGAGCGAGGGAAAGGCACACTGAATGCCACTGGTGACAGCCAGTGACAGTGATGGGGCTGCGGGAAGTGGTGGCCAGGAGGCAGGAAGTTGGAGAGCACCATCTCGCACGTCTTCTGGGAAGCCAGACTGCCTTGCTCAAGGTTTTTGGAGCACACACGGAATGTGTGGTCAGGCGTGAGTGTCTCCTTGTGTTCCACAATGCCACACAGCTGGCTGACTGTCCCGTTCATGGTCATAGAACCCAGCACGGCAAAGCCAGGGGAAGGCGAGGGAGTGTGGTCTGGCTCTTCCTCCTTGGATGCTGGGAAATGCATGCCTTCCCTTGCAAAGAGCGTCCCTCAGCCTACAGAAAAGAGGGGCGTGTTCCCGCGTGATGTGCTTCTATGGAAACATCTTCCTCTGCTTCCCTGTGCCCAGCGTCTCCCATCTCCTCTGCACTCTGTACACCCGTCGGGGAATTGCCTTCAAAACTCAGACGTGGGGCCACTTCTCCAGCGAGATCCCTTCCGACCCTTGCCTTTGAAGGATAATTCCTGTGTTCCACCGGCACTGTGGATCTGTGCTGCTAATGTAATGTCTCATGCTTCTCTCCCATGTAACCCGAGTCCATCTATTTGCTCTTGGTTTGTGCATGTGGTCAAGTTAATCCCTCTTTCTGGAATACCTCTCTCTACCTGAGGAAGCCACTTGTCGCTTAGGATTCAGTGAAAATATTACTTCTTCTGCAAGGCCTCATCACACCCTAACTGTATGTAGCCTTAGTCGGTCTAGTTAGCATTTCTTATCTTTTCTTCTGGGCCCCGGGGAATTCTGAGTTTATATTTCCGCGATTATAGAAGTCGTAGTGTAATTTGTGTGACAGTCAAATTTTTGTATCTTTCTATTCTCTCATTATCAGGTATGGACTGTGATTTCCTTTTATACTGGCTTATTTATATTTAGAGAGGCAGAGTCTGAGAGGTGGGAGTGCTCCCTATCTGCTGGTTCACTTCCCCAAATGCCCACAGGGACCGGAAGGGAGTAGGGAGACAAAACAAGGAGCCGGCGCCTCAATTCAGGTCTCCCATGTGGGTGTCAGGGATCCAATTTTTTCAGCCATCATCTGCTGCCTCCGAAGGTGTGCATTAGCAGGAAGCTGGAATCAGAAGTGGAGCCGAGACTTGACCTTGGACACTCCTGATATAGGATGTGGGTCTCCCAAGCAGCAGTTTGGCCACTATGATGAATGCCAGCCCCATTTCTTTTTAATATTCTTTATTTTCATTTTCATTCTCCAAAGGCCCACAACAGCTGGGGCTGGGGCAGGCTGAAGCTGGTAGCCAAGAACTCCATCTGGGTCTCCTACATGGACCTTGGGCACTCCTAATGGCAAATACTTAAGCCATTACCTGCTGCTTCCCAGGGTGCATCCAAGCAAGAAGCTGGTTCAGAAGCAGAATGGCAGGGACCTGGATCAGGCACTCCAACAGGGCATGTGGGTGTCCTGAGTGACATTTCAGTGATGGCATCACACACCTGCCCCTCCCACTTTTCTTTTAAATATAGCACCCAACAGTGGCTCTTACACAGAGCTAGTACCAACAAGCACTCTTTGGATAGGAGTGAATTGCAAGTTGTGATTTATATCTACCTTTCCCCCAGCGTGTACGTGTGGTCCTGGCTGTTATCTCCACTTGTGTGCTACTGTGTTTAGGACTGTAGGTGAGGGAAGCCGCACTGTGCTTCCTGTCTCTTGTTCCTGCTCTGTGTGGCCTGAGGGGCACATGGCTGGGTTGCAGAAGAGAGAGTGCAGTGGCCAGAGCATGGTGGAGCTGTCACTGTCTCTGCTCAGCTGGGCACCAGGGCCTCACTCTCTTCATGGGCGAGATGAAGACCTTGAGGCAGGCACCCAGCATCCAGATGGGTCTCCAGAATTCTCGGGTGGATTTTTCAGTCTTCTTCCCAGGCCTCTGCGCCTTGCGTGTGGAATTCTCAGCGCACACACAGTGTTCATAGGGATGTTCACACAATGTTCTTACAGTGTTCATTCGTGCCTCTTTTGTGTGGCGCTGGGAAGAGCTCCCTGGGCAGTGATTATTCCCCTTTGGTCTGAACCTCCTGCAGGCTAAGGGGAGAGGGAGGGCCGGGGCTGGCTCCTCTGGGGCCAGAATCTCACGTTTGCCGCGGGGCTTGCAGTGATCACCCTGGCTGTGGCAGGAGGAATGAGGAGTGACCCAACTGTCTCACTCTCATTGTGCGGGGAAGGAAGGAAATGTCAGGGATTCCACCACTTGAGACACTAGCATGTGTGAAGTTGTTTAAAGCTCCATCACTAAAGGTGGAGATCTGTTGCCAAATGTGAGACAAACCTTGAAAAGATGGATATTCTTATGAAAAAAGGTAAAATCAGAGATTTGGGGAAAATAAGAGTCACTTGTATAATGTTAGGTTAATATGCAAATATAGTAAAAATCCACGTAAATGTGTGTTTTCATTTTGGGACTTTCTTTTTTCATCTATGTAGTGTTGTTTTGTCTTC